TTTTTGGAAATTCGAACTATAAGTGTATTATAGAACATTAGTACTTTTAGACTAAACATATGTACCCTTCGGTATTATGTGAACGATTACAGCTAAAATTTTTACATTTTGTCTAAGAATTTAATTCAGGAAATAGGGGTGATTTATGGAGGTGGTACTTAATTTAGGTTTGGGTGAACGGATGGTGCTGGAATATTGAAATGTTGCTATTGGGGTCACTGTTAGTATATTGAGCTGAAATTTGAAGGTGGTTTTGGAAACATGTACTAAAAAGTACTAAATTTAGTACCACTTGAAATTCTGGGAGGCAGAATCTTAAAATTACGGTACCTCCTGATATTCGGTATTTTGATGATAAAGGTCATCATTTAAACGATATTTTTCAGAATTTTTTGAAAATGTTCAAGTTCTTTACAAATGATGGAGGGTATATTGCAAATGATATATTCAACCCGGCCGAAATTAGTTACTTGTTTACTTGTTTTAAACTCGGCTAATCCCGATATTTCAATCAACACAAGATCAAGTGTAAAGATGAAATATGTCGAATGACTCCGTCTGGTACCTCTACTACAATGTTTGATCCATTATATCTCTTATAAAATCATCTTATATCTCATATAATTCGATATAAGCATCAGATTATCTTCAAATTTCACACATCCCAATATTTTTAATAACACAAGATCTGGTGTTAAGGCCTACCTCTCCCACGATGTTCAATACTTAAATTTGTTATAACAATACATATTTTCCCAGCCAGAGATCTGATGTGAAAATAAAATTTATTAGCCGAACCGAATTGCCTTTTATTGTGCACCAATCGTGTAATATCTGCCCAAATAGTATAGAATTTCGCACATACGACCAAATTAGGCCTGGAAATAAGTATGCCAAATTTGATCGAAATCGATTTTTGTCCCCCGCAGCCGTAACAATACAACAACTCTGTAACAACAATATTTGGGGAAATATATCAAATACAGCTAAGATATTACTTTGCTAAATTTTATCGAGATCGGCTCAGCTTTAGATATGGCTCCCATATATCCTCCGATTTGCCTTTTATTGTGCAGGAAAATGACCGAATTGAGTCTAGAAACAAGTATGTCAAATTTAGTGACAACCGGCTATAGCTATATCTATAGCTCATATATATAGGGTGAGATGAAAAAACTGCAGCTAACTTCAGACTGCTGTCATTTCTAAGCCACTCGTCCGACAGCTTCCAATGACAGCTCATTATATTGATTACAAGCGAACAAAAGCAATTTCCTCAAGTAAGCGCTTCGTCGGGAATGGACCAAAATACCACAGAGCAACATTCGGGCAGCTTGTGACGGTTTGATTGGTCATTTGAAAGCCATAATTCGTGCCAAAGGTGACCAATTCGAACAAATCTAAACTTATTCTAAAATATAACTGTGTTGGCCTGTTTGTTCTGGATACCATAGTATTTTTTTGTTGCAAAATGGTCAGGCTTAATCCCTTTATTGTTGTTTTTATAAAAACAAGGTTTGTTTATTAGTGGAGAACGATGGTAATGTTTACCAGGGGGCAGGGAATACCTAGGTTTCGGGAAGAGCCACCAACCCTCATCAGTTCAATTCGTTCGGAAGCTAAAGTTATTTCCACATACGGACGGAGATCGCTAAATCGATATAGAATTTTATGCTGATCAACAAAATATATACTTTGTGGGGTCTAAAATGTATATTTCCAGGTATTACAAACGTAATTACAAACCCAATATACCTTCCAAATTATGTTGGACGGTATAGAAATTACTTACGCAGGCCCAAGTCTTCGTACAGCCCCTCTAAAACGGTAGCTCCCAAAATTCGGTATTTTTATGTTATTAGGGACATTATAGACCGGACTCGTTTCAAATTTCGTTCCTAATGGGTACTACAGATTATGACAAAAAATTGAGAATGCAGGTCCACATCTTCATATAGCCACCATATAACAATACCACCTGATATTCGGTATTTTTATGATTTTAGCGACACTGTCCACTAGAAGTGTTCCATATAATGGTTTTTATTTAAGCGGTACATTTTTGATGGATTTTTTTTTTTTGAAAATTTCCGACGTTCCGGCGTTTTCAAGACCGAACGTAGGTGCTTTATTACTTGTTAATGTTAGGTGCGTTTGAATTTGGGTATCTATCTTTGAAAAATTGAAACCCTAGAAACAGTGACATCCATATCAAATTTCAGAATTCCAGTTATATCTGTTCAACAAAGACAAAATTTAGTACTTTTCGTACAATTAAAGTACACATTTCTAAAGCACTTCCATAGCTCAATCCTAGATTCCAAAACTTAGCACAACATAAAATTTCACGATTACCCGATACCAATTTTGCAACATTTATATCCAAAACTATTTACATCCTAGACAAAATTAGTTCCATTTAGTACTTTTCGAACCATTTGTAAGCCCATCACCAGATACCAAAAGGAATCTCAGTATCAAATTTCGGCATTCAGGCTCTACACATTCATTCAATATCAAATTTAACAACATTTAGTACTTTTCGTATAACTTACGTACTCATTTGCAAAACAGTTTCATATCACAATCCTACAGACCAACAGCTATCGCAATATAAAATTTCACCGTTTCAGCTCTATCCCTTCACCCAATACCAAATGTAGTACTATTTCGAACTTTTCGTACAATTATGGTACCCATTTCTATATCAAACTTACTTTCCAACATTGATTCTCCTACCAAACTTCAAGTTTTTGGCTCTATCCATACACTTAGTACCAAATGGTACGAGTTTAGAAGTTTTTGTTACCTTAAAGTTCGAATTTCCAAAAATCCTTTGGAACATCTGCACTTTGGTACATCCCGCAATCGATCTGTGATTCTCAATTCACATTTCTCAATACAGAGTATTCAACTTTTAGTACATTTTTGTACATTTCGTACCATTTTGCTGTGAATTTCCAAAGACCTTGCCTCATCACATACCTACGCGCCAAGACTGACCCTCGTCTCAAATTTCAAGATTCTAGCTGCAGCCGTTTCGTCTAGCTTTGATTCTCAGTCAGTCAGTTTGGAATTAAGCTATTCAGATATAGCTATAGTTCTATTCGACTTTTAAATACAAACACCTCTAAACGGTTACTTTACAGAAATTCCCAATGTAAATGTTTATTATACCCTCCACCTCGGAAAGGAGGGAATATTAACTTTGTCATTCCGTTTGTAACATCCCTAAATATTTGTCGTAGACCCCATAATGTATATATATTCATAATCAGCATAAAACTCTAAGACGATTTAACGATGTCCGTCTGTCTGTCCGCCTGTATGTCTTTTGAAATCACGTTACAGGTCACATTATTTGACATAGAGCATTACAATTTAGCAGAGCTATTTGTATTGTGTCTAGGATGGTTGGTATTGAAAATTAGATATATCGGTCCACGTTCTGGTATAGTCCCCATATAACGGTACCTCCCGATATTCGGTATTTTGATGATTTATGCCACACTTTTTTCACGGATTTGTTTGAAAATTGGTATTTGTAGGTCATAACGGGTCCCTGTACGTGTGGCAAAACATTGCATGTATAGGTCCACGTTTTGGTATAGCCCCCATATAACGGTACCTCTCGATATTCGGTAATTTGATGATTATTGCCACATTTTTTTTTTCACGGATTTGTCTGAAAATTGGTATTTGTTGGTCATAATGGGTTCCAGCTTCGGTGGCAAAACATTGCATGCATGGGTTCACGTTTTGGTGTAGCCCCCATATAACGGTACCTCCCGATATTCGGCATTTTAATGGTTTTTGCCACATTTCTTCTAATGTTTCTTTTACCCTAAGGTGGAGGGTATTAAAAGTTTGGCCCGGCCGAACTTTTTTACTTGTTTAACTTGTTTTTATGTAGCGGGTAGCTTTATTATATAGGCATATTGGTGTAGGTTATCATAATGTCGGCCTCCCCCGTCTATGGCCCTTTCTTTGCTGGCTTCTTATGAAATTGTTGTCACTTGTTCAATTATGGTGAGAATTATGGACGCTGCACCTGACTTTTATTTAAACCACATTTTATTGTTAATACCGCTGGCGCTATTGTTTATACTGGCCGGCGAAGTAGGTAATTCCGGTTCTTGAATATTTTTCTCTTTCAAAAATTTGAATTTTAATAAAAATCATCAATTATCACCAACACATGAATTCCTTTTTTTTTGTTTTTTATGCAAACACTTTTGTTGACAGATTTCGCAAGTAATTCTTATCACCTCGACCGTAAACAGAACCGGTTACTAAATAGAATCGACAAATAGCACGGACTAAAAACAAAGAAAGCGTTTCGTATGGGCAGGCGTCACCTCTACATTAAATTGAATAATCTGCGGTTTGTTTACGCCGCGTTGTTTTTGTTTTCACTTGCAGTTGGTCGGATGGGCGTTTGGTCGGTCGGTCGGTGGTGACTTTTTGTTGGGTGGTACTAGTATTGGGCGATAAATTTCATTTTCATTTCAAACTATTTCGCTTTGAGTTTCGTTTTTCTTATCACTCGGTTCCGTGTCTTATCTCTGCCCTGTATGGGAGCAGACAAGAGATTAATTATGACAGTGGTATGCGGTCGGTCAGCTGTTTGTGGGTCTCTTATCACACGGCAATTAATTGATTGATTTATTATACGTTTTGATGCAATTTCCTTTTGCACTGGGATTGATTGCACTTTTGTGTATTCTTGGGTGTTATTCTTTCTTTATCACTTTGTTTCACTTTTTCCATTTCGTTTTCTCCTCTTGGCTTTTGCACTTTGGCTTTCTTTTCAAAGACTTTCGAACATACACCACTCGTATGTAATTGAATAACTTCTTTAGTCCGTAATTGATAATTTCCTTTCTTGGATTGGCATTGGCAAAGTGTTGGCCAGGCCAGTGTTGCCGGTAGATTTCTTACCCCCCAAATAACAAATATACCAATGCATCACTTCTCCTTACCCTCCCTCCCACACTCACTCACTCACTGCCTTACAATCCGTTCGTTCGTTCGCTCGCTCGAATTTTCTTTTCTATATATTTACGGGCGTTCGCAACGCGTCGTTCTCGGCGACTATTCCCTGACGTTTGAAAATGAAAAGAATTCACTTGTTGCACGTCTTTATTGCATCGAATGCAAAAAAACAATAACAACAGCAGCGTAAGCTTCAATAGAAGCACCACAATAACATCAGCTGCAGCAACGACGACAACATCAACAACAACAAACCGTAAACTGATTGGCGCTTTGTTGTTATTATTATTTTTCTCCCGTTGTTGAACTTTTTCTCATTTCTTCTTCTTCTTCTTTCTTTGTCGGTCGGGGTGCTCCGTGATATCTTCGTTTGTTAAGCTTAATGTTTGTTTGCTGCCTGATTGGATGAGTATTTACTTGGCCAGAGTGACTAACAAAGCCAGTGATACTCACGTCTGTTTGTTTGCTTGGCTGGTTGGTTGGGTGTGCGCGCATACATATCCGAACACATCCCCATATCACGACAACAGGTCGTCATAGTTTATCCAAATATGCATTACGTCGATTGTACAGAGATTTTGGGGTGACCACACCTGTAAAAAATAGGAAGAAGCAAAGATTGGAATTACAAGATTGGAATTTACACACTTTAACCAGTAAAGAAAGTCCTAAAGTCGGGCGGGGCCGATTTTATGATACCCTACACCACTTTGCTAATTTAGTTGAGCTCCACATAATAATTAAAAGTTTTTATGGGAGAATTCAATCATACACGCTATGATTATAATTATAATTTAAAGTTCAAAGGACTAAATATGCCGAAGCATTTGTATTTTTTGAATTCGGACTTGTATTGCCCATTTGGTGCACAATTAATTTGAAATCGGATAAAAATATATATGGGAGCTATATCCAAATCGGAACCGATCCCGATAAAATTTGACAAAGATATTTCTGAGCTGTATTTGATATATTTCCCTGAATATCGTTGTTACGGAGTGCATATTACGGCTGTGGGTAACAAATACAATAAATCGGATGAAAAATATATATGGGAGCTATAACTATATCTGAACCGATCTTCACCAAATTTGGCATACTACCTTCTAGACTAAATTCGGTCGTATGTGCCAAATTCCATCCCATTTGGACAAATATTAGACGTTTGGTGCACAATAAATGGTAAATCGGACGAAGTTATATATGGGAGCTATATCCAAATCTGAACCGATCTCAATAAAATTTAGCAAAGTTATTTCTGAGCTGCATTTGATATATTTCCCCAAATATTGTTGTTACAGAGTGCATATTACGGTTGCGGAGGACAAAAATAACAAATCGGATGAACAATATATATGGGAGCTATAGCTATATCTGAACCGATTTCGATCAAATTTGGCATACTTATTTTCAGACCTAATTTGGGTGTATGTGCAAAATTCCATACTATTCGGGCTAATATTACACGTTTGGTGCACAATATAAGCCAAATCGGACGAAGATATATATGGGAGCTATATCTAAATTTTTACCGATTATCTCCAATTTCAATAGGGTTCGTCCTTGGGCCAAGCAAATGTTGTTTGCAAAATTTCATCTCAATCGGATAATAAATGCGACCTGCATTTTGTTCACAAGAATACATGGACGGACAGACGGACTGACATGCATAAATCAACTCAGAAAGTGATTCTATGCAGATCATCAAAAGGAACTATGGGTCTATCTCGTTTCCTTTTGCCTGTTACAAACAAATGCACAAAGACATACTACCCTGACCACCTTGTGGTGTAGGGTATAAAAAGTATCAGTCGGTTTTGCCGCCAGATGTATATCCTCAGCCGTCCCGCAATTTAAGTTTCTTCCAATCATTGATTTTGAAAATATTTTGTTTTTATACCCTTCACCATAGTATGGAGGGTATATTAAGTTTGTCATTCCGTTTGTAACACCTCGAAATATACATTTTAGACCCCACAAAATATATATATATTCTTGATCAGCATAAAATTCTATGTCGATTTATTAATGTCCGTCCGTCTATCCGTCTGTAGAAATCACTCTAGCTTCCGAACGAAATGAGGTAAGTTAATAAAAATTATGTATTATGTCTGCAGGACTTTTGGTATTGAAAATGGGCCATGTAGGTTCACATCTTCATATAGCCCCCATATAACGGTATCTCCCGATATGCGAAATTTTGATGATTTTAGCGACATTATTAACCGATTTTTTTCAAAGTTCCCCCGAGATTCGATATTTTTAGAGACATTATTTACCGGTACTATTTCAAATTTAGTATTTGAAGTTCGTAATGAATACTACAGCCTATGAGAGAAAATTGTCTGTGCAGGTCCACGTCTTGGTATAGCGCCCATATGACGGTACTCCCGATATTCGGTATTTTGATGATTACTTACCGGAACTATTTCAAACTTAGTATTTGAAGTTCGCAATGGATACTACAGCCTTTGACAGAAAGTTGTTTGTGCAGGTCCACGTCTTTGTATAGCCCCCATATAACTGTTCCCCCCGATATTCGGTTTTTTGATGATTTTAGCGACATTATCTACCGGAATTGTTTTAAATTTCGAATTTGAAGTTCATAATGGATACTACAGCCCGTGACAGAAAATTGTCCGTGCATGTCCACGTCTTTGTATAGCCCCCATATAACGGTCCCCCCCGATTTTCGGTATTTTGATGATTTTAGCGACATTATTTACCGAAATTTTTTCAAATTTAGTATTCGAAGTTCGTAATGGATACTACAGCCTATGCCAGAAAATTGTCTGTGCAGGCTTATGACAAATGTTGCGAATGCAGGTCCACGTCTTTGTATAGACCCTAATATACGGATACATTCGGTATTTTTAAGATTTTAACAAAATTTTTAACGGATTTTAATTTTTTGAAAATTGACAAATTTGTACCAAATGGTGGAGGTTATTCAAAGTTCGGCACGGCCGAACTTTCAACTTTTTTACCTGTTATTTTTCAAAACAACAAATACATACACAAAATTGGCAGAAGTCGGGCACACTTAGAAGAAAATTGTAATCAGCTGGGAGCTCTACCTTACCTTTTTATTGTACCATAATACCGCCTATCAATATTTGGCTTTAGAGGAGTTAAAGTTGCATGATATCACTTCCAGAAGGATTATATTAAAAAATGTATATCGGAGTCGAGTTTCACAAAATGGAAACGTAAGTCCCAAAATTCACTCCATTACGTCTGATATTAGTCATTATATGCACAATAAACCTGCAATCGGACTAAGGATATATATGGGAGCTACATAAAAATCTTAGCCGATCTCGATAGAATTTCGCAAAGGTATTTCCGAGCTCTAAAAGATACCTGGTGCTCAGAAATCAATAATCACTAATTCTAAATTATCAACAATTTCAATAGAGTTCGTCCTTGGTTCAAACAAATATTGTTTGGAAAATTTTATCTCAATCGGATAATAAATGCGACCTTCATTTTGTTCACAAGAACACATGGACAGACGGACGGACTGACATGTAAAATCGACTCTGAAAGTGATTCTATGAAGATCCTCAAAAGTAACTGTGGGTCTATCTCTCTTCCTTCTCCATGCTACAAACAAATGCACATAGACATAATACCCCCTTACCACTATGTGGTGTGGGGTATAACCAGCTGAGTTATGCTCAACAAGTATATTTTTTTCGTCCATACATTATGCATTTTCCCAATTACTTGTTCCTCGCTAAAAAATGTAAATAGCCGGAATGAGTTCTTACTTAGGCCACTTGCTTTTAGGCCCTTATATAGTTTTGACCATATACAAAGGGACCCCCCCATACTTTGAGAAATATTTCACAATATTTGGGATAAAGCTCTGAAATTTGAGATCTTTGATTTCTATCCAGAATCATTGGTACCGAAAAGTTTTTTTTTTTTTCAAAAAGACCCTTAAAAATTTGTTAATTTTAAAACTTGACATCTCTACTATGAGAATATGCATTGCTTCGTTCGTCTTGAAGGACCTTTACAAACATCATGGCCAATTCAGCTTAGAAGCAAATCCCTAACATTTAGTGAAAATCGTTTCAGATATAGCTCCCATATATATATTTTATCCGATTTGGTGTTTATGTCCGATACATTAGTAATATGCACTCCACTAGAATGATATTCGGCACCAGATATCCAAAAATCTCAGAAATATCTGTTTTAAATTTTTTCAAGATCGGTTTAGGTTTGGATAAAACTTCGATATATACAGGGTGAAATGAAAAAAACTGCAACCAACTTCAGACTGCTCGTCCGACAGCTGTTAAAATTATTCCAGTGGCAGCTCATTATATTGTTTACAAGCGTACAAAAGCATTTTGGTGATCAGTTATTCGTGATGGAATTCAAGCGTGGAAGTGTGATTTCTTTATATTTGGCTGGAAAGCCACAACTGTCTATCGTTAGAGCACTCCAGCATTTAAACGTGAATAAATCTTTTCTATCTCTTACCATTGCTCGTTACCGCGATACTGGTAGCGTAGCCCAACATCAAGGAAGTGGACGGAAGAAAACAGCAGCATCAGCAAAAATTGTTCGAAAAGTAAAGAAGCGACGAAGAGGTCAGCTACTTCGTGCTACTTCGCTTGGCCACCAGAACTCAAGCGCCGGCAATGGTGATTGTGTGGGCCGCCATAACAGCCGATGGTCGCTCTCCGCTCGTATTATTCGACCGTGGCATTAAAAAAATGCCGAATATTATCGCGAAAATATTCTGGAGGGTGTATTAAAGCCTTGGTCACGCAAACATTTTGGCCGCAGACCTGGGACATTCCACCAGAACTCAGCACGCGCCACCCATGAATGGTTACAAATGGCCACCAAAAACTCCGGACTATTGTGTCTGGAGTCATTTGGAAAGCAAGGTTATACCAACTCTTTTCATTTGAGCGGTATTTTTCGACGGATTTTTTTAATTCTTCAAGTTCCTTCAAAGTGGTGGAGGGTATAAAAAGTTCGACTCGGCCGAACTTTGATGCTTTTTTACTTGTTTTCTTTTTTTATACCCTACACCACATAGTGGTAAGGGTATTATGTTTTTGTGCATTTGTTTGTAACATGGAGAAGGAAGCGAGATAGACCCATGTTCTTTTTGAGGATCTCCATAGAATCACTTTCTGAGTTGATTTATGCATGTCAGTCCGTCTGTCCATGTATTCTTGTGAACGAAATGCAGGTCGCATTTATTATCCGATTGAGATGACATTTTGTAAAAATCATTTGTTTGGCCCAAGGACGAACCCTGTTGAAATTGGAGATAATCGGTAAAAATTTAGATATAACTCCCATATATATCTTTGTCCGATTTGCCTTTTATTGTGCACCAAACGTGTAATATCGGCCCGAATAGTATGGAATTTTGCACATACAACCAAATTAGGCCTGAAAATAAGTATGCCAAATTTGATCGAAATCGGTTCAGATATAGCTATA